CCTTAAAAGCATGGTGGACTAAGTATGGTCTGTTAAAGGCAGTCCCACTTTAGGGGAAAAACAAACAGAGGTTTTTTTTTCTTGAGGCCTGTTTGAGAGAATTTTTGGAGAGGGAGGGAGAGTTAGCTAAAGATAAATCAATGCTTATGTATTAGGTTGGCACCTGGGAGCCTGAGTCAGCCAAAGTCTCGATGAAGATCTTCTTGGCTTGAACAGATTACGGTTTCAAAAAAATATACCGAAGGTTTTAAACCCTAACTCTATATGTCATTAGAGCATAAGCTAACAGTAGCTTCTGATCAGGAGAGGATGCTTTAAATGAAGGCTGGAAAGCAAATTACCCTTTTTGCCATTGTGTTCTTTCACTGTTCCATTGTACTTCAGCAACTTTCTGTGACATCTTGAGTTACCTTAAATTCCTTGGAGTGCCTGCTCAGTCCTTTGAAAGTTTGTTTCTTAACCCTGTTCTTGAAGCTTCTTCTTAACTGATCATATACACTTGTTTTAGGAGAAAGTAACAATCATATTCTTCCTGCAAAGAGTTCTACGAGAAGACTTAAATGCAGCCTTTCTTCCTCACTGTTGAGTGTTGCACTTTTTGACAAAATATGCAGACTACAGTACTTCTGTAGTGAATTGTAGGCAAGTGAACTAGGTTTGTATTGTTGTGATGCAAACACAGCTGCTTTTCTACGTGTTCTAGCTGGAGTAGCATATCAAAAAAAAATCAAATACGTAAGAGCAGATTTTACTGCTGAGTTTGGGAATAAATAGACAAGAAATAAGAAATACCCTACTTCCTCTATATGTCATTCCTCACATTGCAGTTTTTATTCTGCTTTTTTTCTTGAAATGCAAAAGGACTAATGCATGATAGTGAAAAAATACTTTGACTGCAACAGTCATACAAAGATATGCTGTAACTTTTTGTTACAGCTCATTTGTATTTCATCTTCTGGTCTTGTATACTGAATGTAGCATGTACTAAGACCATAAAGACTGTACATTCTTTATTTATTTTTTCTTTTAATGCTATATTTATCATAAAGTACTTGGAGAACATAAAGCTTGAAGGTGTCATGTTATGTTTTTTTTTTTTTTCAGAAAGAAAAGATTGAGTAAAAATCAGGATACTATCAATTTTCATATGACTTAAATACTTAGGAGTTTTTCAGTGCTAATTGTGCTAGTCCTGAGTGCGTTCAAAACTTACAGCTTTATGAACTGAAGATTCTTAGACTTTAGAGATTTAAAAAAAGAAAGAAAGCAAAATAACAGTTCTTTCCTCCCAGTTGCTAACTAGCTAGTAAGGTGGCATGAGAGGAGAATAATTTGCTGAAAGAAGAGGCTCTACCACTGTCAGCTTCCTCAAATCAAAAAAATGTAAGTTCAGGATGAAGGTAGAAGTGCCCTCCAGTGGAGTGCAAGTTATTCAGTTTGTTTTGTTAAGTGTGGCCTGTGTGATTATCTACGTAGGAAACATATTTTGTATGTGCTGCCAAGAACTTAGATCTTGGGAAAGGAGAATGTTCTATTGGTAGGAGGGAATCTAACCTCTTAACTGAAACCATACATGAGATGTGGCCTGCTCTCTGGCTTCCATCACAGTCTCCTCTTGCACTACGTACCAGGGCTCTTTTAAGGACAGGAGAAAAGCAGGTGTTGATAGTAGGAGGTCATAAAAAATAAGGTAAGCATGTTCTAAAATACTGCCTACACTTCTAGCTGATCAGCATACTATGCAACATAATGAGGGAATAATTTACAAGCACTTCTACACTATTGTTAGAAGCTAAAACAGTGAGATGGCAAGTGGACTGCTTTGGCATCAGATGACAGTCCTGACACGCTAGACATCTGGGAGACGTGGAAGAAGAAGCATTACTAGCTTTACAGGAGAGCAGAGTAGGATTGCCTTGTCAGAGAGCGGGTCTGTGTAAGAAGGAATTATTTAGGTATAATATCACAGTTATTACAGAGAAAGAGACTACTGAGTAATGCTTTTGGATAAAAGTCCTATATTCTAATAGTAAATAAGTAGTAGTAGGATTAAACTACTGATCTTTTTCATCAGGATGTTAACAGCGATCAAGAAATGCAAAGCTAGATTAGACAAGTTGTAAATTTAAAACAGGCTGTAATCATGGAAGATTTTATCTACCCACATGCAGCCTGCAACAATATTTCAGGAAAAGATGTAGATATAAAATTTTTATATGCAATAAATGACTTTTCTTAGAATAACCAGTCTTAGAAACCACAAGAAAAGACACCATTCTGGATTTCATTTTGAGTGGTACACAGACCTTCCGAAGTTATGAGTGAAAGAATCACTCTGTAACAGTGACCTCAATCCAATGAGAAGCACAAAATCATGCAGGTTGGAAGGAACCTGCTGCAGGGTCAATTAGAGCAGGTTGCACAGAATGTTGTTAAGTTTTGACTTTCTCCAGGGATGGAGGCTCCACAACCTCTCTCAGCAACTGTTCCAGGGTCTGGCCACCCGAATGGTCAATTTTTTTTTTCTTTCTCCTTTTTTTTTTCCCTCCCCTTACATGTAGTTGGAATTTCCCATACTTCAACTCATATCCTTGCTGTCTCATTCCTTCTACTGTACTTCTCTGGGGAGGGTCTGGCTCTGTCTTTTCTATACCCTCCCTTTAGGTAGACAGCAATAAAATCTCCTTTTCTCCTTCTAAGGCTGAACAAACCCAGCCACATCATGTGCTTCAGTCCCTGAAATCTTGGTAACTCTCTGCTGGACTCGCAGCAGTATGAAAATGTTTAGCTTGTATCTAAATGTAGTCTTTACAATGTCCTGGCTAAAAAGCCAGGAAAATGTTGGGCCTTACCAGCACTGAGGACAAGTGAGAGGGCACCTTTTTGTTGCTATAATGTAGATTAGTGCCTCCGTGTCTTGAGTGCTGTTGGCGGCTCTGGCCTCTGCATCTCAGGAAGAAGGTGGTGAAGTTAGCAAGCGTGAGAGAAGGGCAGCTGAACCAACAGAGGGGCTGGAGCAGCTGCCCGACACGCAGAAATTTGAAAGGCTGGCTGAATTCCTCCATTTGGAGAGGAGAAGGCTGAGGAGGGCTGTATAAACTGAGGCTTATGCAATCACGTAGGTGGCAGGTAAGCTGAATGTGGGACTGTTTGTTGCTCAGTGGATCCCCCGATATGAATACTGGGGCGCTTGGTGAAAGCAGTGGGAGATCAGGGTAAAACAGACCGAGCAATGCACAGCTTCACGTGGTGGGCAGTGAACTTCAAGAATTTGCTGCCACAGCAGGCTGTGGAGGCAAACAGCATCAGCCAGTGCAAAAAGAGCAGATGGATCAGATGGACTCAGGGACAGGAAGGTCTGTAAGTGGCTATGGAAAAGGAGCAAGTATCCCTGCCCCAGTCCTCTGCCGGCCTGAGCCCTCCTCTTCCGGATGCTGAAGGCATATAGGGGGAAGAGACTGCAGAAGCAGTTAGGCTTGTGCACTCTGCCGAGGTGGCATCTCCTGTTGCCTCTACTGGAGACAGAGCACTGGTGGTGGATGGACCCAGCATTGGTCTGACTCAGCTGGTCTATTCTGAAGTCCATCCAAAACATTCATTGATTTGTGTGGGTTGCATCTGTATTACACGTTATAGTTTCTTGTCTAGGCTAACTTGAAATGTTTCCAGCTTAGATAGACCATTACTTCAATCGGTGACTATTTCCACACAGCCAAATGAATTTCTTTGGAAGTGCTTCAGATAGTCAGACTATAAAACATAACCCCTATACTTATTTCATATTATTTCTATAATACTGCATATCTTTATTCTAAATAATTCTTTTATGTACATGTTAACTCCTTCCAAAAGTCTTGCGCAATTATCATTGTCTGATGGCCACCTAGCTAGTGTGTGTGAGGGCAGTGTATATGTATGTATATAAGTACATAAATACATGTGCATTCAAAGAACATGATGAAGATGATTTAAAGCTGAAAAATTGCATATTCAGAAGATAAAAGTACAAGAATTATGGATTCTAAAACAACGTTAATTCACTCCCTTGCGTTCATGTAATGTTAATTACATCAACAGAGATGCTACTGTTTGGAGTACTACAGAAAAGGGTATGAGGAGATTAGTAGTCCAGCCTTCAGAATGGAGCTAGAGTATTGGCTACGAGGCTATATTTTTAACAAAATCTGCATGTAGGCCTATTAAGTGACTGCCCTCTGTTCTCTGTGTTGCAGGATCCTGGGCTAAAATAGGTGGACATCTCCTTGCTTAAGGAGATGTGTGCAAGCATATAATGAAAGATTATGTGCATATAAATAAAGATTGTATGAGAAAACACGAGTACAAGTGGTCCAAATCCAAGTAACATCCTTTAACTCCAGCATTTCCCAAGCTGACTTTGAAACTTTAGTATTGGTTTCCTGGCAAATTTATGTATGCACAGTTTTCTAAAATGAAAACAGAACTTCTAGAATTGAGGCAGTTGACCTGAGCTTCTTGATATCATAGAGTAAGGTATAGTAGTAATAAACTGTTATACCCCTAGAAGATCGGGGCTAGAAAGGGCAGGACAGATTTTATTTGTAAATTTCTCAAATAATTCCTGGGAAAAGAAGAACATTGAAGTTACCCACATAAAGTTATCTGGTGGTGTCCTCCAAGACTGCCTACTTTTTCCTTCCCTGGATAGGATTCCATCTCCTACCTGTCTGCTTTTTGTCTCTGGATTGCCTCAAAGACTACCTGAAACTTGTTAGTATATGTTATTACTCATATAGTATCTGAATTCAGTAAATTCAGATTTTTTAATTTGAATCAGGTATTGTGTTGATGACTCTCTGAGATATGCTAAGTGCTGACAAATTAGAAAACTAGTTCTTGAGTGTTGATAGCATCTTCCTCAGTAAGATTTATATGTTTTTACTTGATTTGTTTTAATAGTTTTACTGGTATGTGTGTGATTGTTCTGTTGTTCTTACTTTTATTTATTTCCTGTTTCATAGACTGAATCTTGAAGAAGAATTGGATCAAATGAAAGTACACCAGTCTGTGGGTAAGCTTACAATACAGGACCTTAACTATATTTACAACAAAAATGGGAAAGTACAGTATGTCGTGTACTCTGTTAAAAATATTTAAGGTTAATATCTATGCAAATTAATTTTCTTATTTCTAAGTGCATTTTTTCTTTAGTTTTCCACATGCCTATTAAATCAGTGATAATGTATGTATATATACTAACTATACGGTAATATATACATGTGAATTATTTGTGTGCCGTATACTCTATAATACATATTTTAAAGAATTTTTTTATATATGTTTGTATGTTTATGAAGCTTTCTGCAGAGCCTGAAATGGTTCTTGCAGTATTACAATACAGCAAAAAAGAAACCACATGCTGATTCAGACTTCTTTTTTTAATACTGGTCTCAAAAAGTATGTGGCTCTGAATGTAAATCCAATATAGTGGAACCCTTGTAAGTATTCTTCTTGGAGATCTTTTGTATCTGTACAAAAGTTGATGATAGTGGATGGTAGTGATAAGTCTTTGCCAGTAAGGTAGGTAAAATATATGGCTGTTGTCCCCATCCCTCCTCTGATCCTTGGTAGTATTTGCTGTTCCTGAATCATCTGGGAGAAGTATTCAACAGTGCATACATACAGCTGGCTTTCAAACCTGTGCTGAATTGCTTCTGCTCAGTATTCTCCAGGAGTAGAGAACAGAAGGAGACCTGGAGAAAGTCCTCTCTTAAGGAAACAGGTTCATGGCAATAAAGCTTTACCCTTCTTTATCTTCTTTTTCTGCTCTTGGCTGCTTTCTTTTATGTGATAATGCTGGCCAGCTGGATGAAAAAATACAAAGGAAAGTTTTTCTTTTACTTGAAGCTTGTTTTATAATTTCTGTAAAAATAAGTGGGAATATCCAGCTGCTGATGGATAGAAAGTTACTGTTTTGCTCTCTTGTTACTTCTTGTATATTACTTTCATTGCCCTAAGTAGAGCTGAAGGAAATGAGTGAAAATTTCAAATACTGACTTTAAAAATCACTTCTTTATTTTTGCCAATTTAGTCAGTCTTTGCTGAGACACAAGGGGAAAGGCAGCCAGGAGTGAGAAGGAGTTGGGTGCCTGCTGAGCAATAACCATACGTTTCCAAAAAACAGTCAGATCCCTAGAACTGCAAGCTCCTGACATGTGTAATACTTTAATGATTAGCCCTTTCTTCCTTTTTTCTTAATAACTTTTCAGATTAAAATATACCCTCTTTTAAAAGTGAACGAGTGGATAGACACTTTTGATTTGGTTACTGGTGTGGTGGTTACTTATTGCCATATCATGACTAAGAAGAAAGATTAAAATACTAGTGAAGTGTGCTAGGCAAATCTTATTTACCTTTTCTAGCATTTGCTGTCACAGGAATTTTTTTGGTAAATTACCAAATCAAATCCAAAGATGTGTGTTAAGCAACATATTTGGTTAGCCCATGAGGCTGACAACTGATTGCGAACTTTTACTCATCCAAGCTGTGAAAAGTAAATTCCCTGTTGTTTCTCTTGGAAACACTAGGATATTGCAGTGCCATGTATGCTTTCATCAAGTGAATTTGATGTTTTGTAGAATAATACCTTGTGGAGTTTGAAGCTGGTGTACGTCTGTGAGCGTGTATAAGCTTGTGTGAGCAATCCTTGCTCATGCGCCTAAGAAAATGCATGCGTGCTCTGCCTATTAAAATTGAAAGCTTGTGACTGCTTATTAAATACCAAGGGAAAGGTAGTAAGTCTCAGTGAGTGCCAAAGTATGTTCTTTCAGATTTTTCATTGCACTACTGCTTTTAGTTTTTAGTTACTAGAATGAACTACAGCTGACTGCCACAGACAGGGTCAGCATACCTGTAGAAGCCTTGCATGTTGTCTCTGAGGTTTCCTGTGAGGTTCCTGTGAGGCATCTTTAGTGTGACAGGGTGTATACATCCTTTTTATAAACCAAATGAGGATTCAATTGTGGAATCTTTTTTTCTTTTTTTCTTTTTTTTTTAAATTAATGGCATTTGAACATAGAAAACTTTAAATAGAACTTCTGTAGCGGCATCTGCTTACACAGGACAGAAAAAACATTTCTGTTCACATTCAAAAATCTGTATCCAAGAAATCCTTTGCTTCCATAAGTTCTGCTGAAGAGGAACAGTCCGTAGCCCTTCAGTATATAAACTTTTCACTGATGAATAGATTTTACTGGAGTAGGGCCGAGCAATTTTAAGAAAATAGAAAAAAGTGCTCAAACAGCTGTATTTTGAACAAGCTTTAAGCAACAGAGAAGTTATAGTCTCTCCTGATCATAAGAATGAGAAAGTGAGCAGAAAGAATAAAAACACACAAGTAGCTAAATCTGTATTAATTCCCTTCCTCTTCCGAAATAAATGTAAAACCTCTTATCTGTTATCTGTAGGCCAGACATGATACACTATAAATAGCATTTGTTCACTGTTTAAGTAAATGTGTTTTCATTTCTAAAAAGAAGCCTGAAAAGAACTTAATGTATCAATGGTGTTGGTATTCACTTTCACCTGAACAAGTACCCATTTTAATCAGGCATTCTAACAACAGGGGATAATTTCTTGAAAAAGGGGCTGAGCTTCTCTACATTAAAAAGTGATAGGCACTACCCTATCGCTTGGTTAGATGTCGATCGTGCTTGTCAGGAGGAAGTACTGAATACCTGCTATTTATTTAATTCAGCCAGTTGGAAGGGGTCAAAAGCCACAAATAATTAATTGTTTTTAAGAAATCCCTGTAATTTTTGATCCTTCTGTCTCACTGTCAAATCAAAAGCAAAGTTAAAATGCTAAATGCGACTGGATAGTTCTCTGTGTCAGGAAGACCAGAGAAATTTGCCAGGATCCAGGTGAATTGGCAAAGAAAATCACTGAAGAGATTTTTCAGAGGTACAAATGATTATTATGTCTTGTGGAAACCTGAAACTCCCAAGCTGACTCTAATAATGTGGTGAGGAAATGGCTGTTTGTATGAGACAGGCTAGACTGTGCAGGCTGTGTCAGGTGGAGTTCTTTGTGTGAGTAATTCTTAAAGTTACTCTTAAATCTTTAATTTACTCTTAAATTCTTAACCTCTATCAGAACTCTTGTAGAAGTTGTGCAACCTTCATTTCTTTTAGAAGAAAGTGGAGAGTAACTGTTGACTTTCAAGAAGTTTATTTTTGGTAGATTTAGGCTTTTTGTTCTTCTTCATCATTGGCTAGTAGGGTTTAACAAATAATACAGGACACAAGAAAAGCAAGCTCTGCTTCTGCCTTTCCCAGCTATGTCTGTGTTAGCTGTGTCTGAAATGTGTATCTGTTTCAGTTGTCTGAAATGTGTATCTGTTGCCTGTGAAGATTTTTTTTCAATATTAATTGAATCCAAAACTTAGCATCACTATTCACGTCCTGTTGAAGGTGAGAACATGTTGACAGGGACTTAAATGTTTTCTTCCAAAAGCTGAAAATTGGTTCCATCTAGTCCTGTTCAGAAAAATAGATAGCTTCTTAGTAAAGCAAGTTGTTTGTCCCTCTGCATCTTATGGAAGGCTGTTCTTGGGCCTCTTTAGTTGTTGGAATCCTTTTAAATCTCCTGTATTCCCAGCTAGTGGGTAAGAATGGCCTTCTTTTCTTCTGGTCATCACAGTGGTGGTTCTGTATCAGGCTTAGTTTGTCTTCAGGAATCTGGATGACTCCAGCTGGAGCTGGTAACTTGGCAGCCTTCTACACAGTGCCATTTCCTATACATAAGGGGTAACTTCACCTGCTGTATTCTGGAGGCTAATGTGCCATCCTGTTGATGGTTTATATAGTTATTCTATGACCGACATATATCTGGTCTTATTTCTTTATTTATTTATTGATAGTTTTTATCTGCCTGAGAAGACTTTCTGCAAATCATAGCAGTGAACTGTAGCATCACAGTTCAAACACCATTTTGGCAGCCATGTCAAACTACCTCATAATCAGATTTGGTGACTATTAATTAGAAATTAAGTGCTATGTTCCAAAGCTGGCAGTTAAAGGTTTCTCAGTGGGACTTAGGTACAATTTTGTAAGACCATCATAATTTGCTGACTGAAGATTGTGGATTTTATGACTTATGAGTCTATTTCTTGAGTGAGAATTTGGTATTTTTTACATAGGTGTGTGATGGATAAAGCGTATGTCTTGTTGAGTAAACTGATGTGTTGAATCTTTCTTCTGTCATAGGCAGACCTACAGCTATAGGCAGTGCTGTTTCATTGCCTCCCTGACCAATTCCTGTGAACAATTACATAACAGTTAAGGGTATGGAAGGGGTTGAATGGGGTGTTTATTCTGTGTTCATTAGGAAGGCTTACACATCAGTGACCTATGGATTTTCTTTAATTTATATTGCTTTTGATTTCTATGATAATATTGAAGATATGCAGATTTTCCTTAGTATCTGTTTTACAGTAGTAGTATTTATTCTCTGGGTATAATATGTTTATTTATAGATACAGTGGTAAATTATATTTTAATATATCCACATAATAAATGTAGCACCTTGCGTGCTTTGATCCGTTTCTTTGACTATGGGAAATCATTTTTCTTTTCAGTGGAGTACAGTAAATGCTGATATAAAAGCTACAACAGGCATTCAAATGAGTGAATATTTAGAAAAAGATGAAAAGCATGTTCATATTATCTTTGTGTGTTACTTAAAGAATATTGTAAATGTATGCAGTACCACCGTGCTGGGGGACTGTACTCTCAAATAACATGGGAACTAACATATTAATATCAAGGTAAAGGTACATATTCCCCAGATGCATAGTTTTACCTTTTTCAGCTTTTATTATCTTTAGAATAGTGTTCCATTTATTTCAAGAATACAGAAGTATTAATTGGCCATGACATGTTCCAAAGACAAAAGAAAGATCTAATTCACTCTAACAAACTTGTTAGTCACTGTTTATATCAAGAGGATTGTGAATCTACAGAGAGTAACACTGTTTTCTTCTGCACTTGCTTTGTTTATAAATCAAAAGTTTTTAAGTGACCCACAGTGTCATCTCGTAGTTTGAAATGATACTTCTGAAGCAGAGCTTCATCATGTAACGCAGATGTATATCCCTAAAGATTAGTTCTTGAAGTGAATTTAGGGGAGCAGAAGAGGGAGAAAAGTGAACATTTGGTGTTTCTATGGTGTTCTGTGTTTTTGTTCTGGAACATAGAATTGCAAATTTAATGAAAAGACCTTCGGAGGTTTGTAATTGCTCTTTTCTGTGAGTAGTGGGCAGTTTGTGAATGCTAAGCTTTCAATTCAGATCTGACCACAATATTTTTTACTTTTGGTTTACCTGATTTAGTATTACTGCCAAATCATTTGATACCATCCTTTTCTATGAATAGACCAAATTTTTAACTTGTCTTCTCTGTAAAATTTTTAGTACCTAAAGTGCATAGCTGTCTCTAAACATGGTGCTCAGAGTTGTATTCACACTCATTAGTTGTATCAATTTCTAATTGTTATGAGTTCACAACATTACAATGAAATGATTTGTGTGATTTATCTGGTGAAGTACATGATCTTTCACTTAACAAAAAAGAAGGTTTAAAGTTTTCTTCGATCCTAATTCTGTTACTGTTTGCTTTGTTCAGCAATCACTCTGATCCTCCTAGCAGGGGACAAGACCTAGAGAACAAAACTGGTAGTGGCTGTGTAGATAAAAAGGCAGTGAATTCTGCTTTTAAGGCGTAGAGGGAAAACTCTATAAAAGAATAAAAATAGGAATGAAAGTACAGCGTCTTTAACCTACGGATCTATTGTGCCTTTGAAAAGCTTGTACTCTAGAAAAAACATACTGTGATGCTACAAAGATTCATAATTATGTGACAGAAGACTTTGAAAAGAGGTCACTCTTTAGAAACTGACCAAAAGGCTTGACAAGAAAATAGACCACAGTCTAAATAATTGAGAAAGTAATGAATGCATTTCCTTACGATATCTCAGTATTACTTCATTGAAACAGTGGCTATGACAAAATATTATTTAATCTCTGATAGAGGTATATTATTCTCTAATAGAGCTACTTCTTAAAATTAGTGAAGATGATGTGGTTAAGAACAGTACTCCGAAGAAGAACGCCAAAGAAATTTCAGATCAGATGTTACAGAAGGTAAGATGTCAAGTTAATGTAAATTTTAATGAGTCATGTATACAAGTCAGTACTCATGAATTTGAGCCATGATTTTCCTTTCATAATTCAAAAATATGAATTTTCAAATTGTATCAAAAATCAATTATAGTGTAGTAGCTGTGGGTGCATCATGGGACAAACATGGTTAATGTCAGAGTAAATTAATAGTACGTTTAGAGATAAAATGTAAAAAAAATTAACAAATTTTCTAGATTAAGAGCAAAATATGGTTAGCATTTACCACTTTTAAGTTTAGAAATATTCATTTCTTTTCCTGAGTGTTTAACTTTACATATCAGGAGTGAATCTCCATAGATATTTTGCTACAGAATAAAATTGATGCATAATAGTGATAAATTTACTTACTATATATAAAATGTAGAACAAAGTTGTATGTTCAAACATTTTTGCGTATATGATTTTGTCGTTTTTTCACAAAGTAGTACATTTTGTGTGCTCTAACTTAGCAAAACTGTGTGCTTTTAAGCTTTACTGCTCAAAATTCTACGTATTTTACTTCCTATAGTAAGAGTGTTAACTAGTTGTTGTTTATATAGATATTTGTATTATACACAAGTAATTTAGTATTTTAACAGGTGTTCACTTAAGAGGGCTCACTTGTATTTTACCATATGTTTGTTTGCTGCAAAGAAAAGGCATCCTCAAACAATGTTACACCTTTTGTTTGTCATTTTGCTAAACAATATTTGTGTTAATTACTTATAAATCTTTAAAAGCATGCTTAAATATAGATAAACAAATCTATAACTTTGAATGTCAGTTTGGGTATGTGTATTTGTTTTGTATTTGTGAATTAACTTGTAGGAAGTACAGTAATTTACAGCAGATGATGTGATTGCGTATACTTCTAACACTTGCCATATGGTCAGGCAATGAAGGCTGTCATCTCGTTATTACTGAATGACAAACATCATGTTAAAATAATAACACACAGAACAGGAAATGCTCACATTCATTTATCTTAAGGTAGAGTGAGTAATTGAAATAATTTGAATGCTACCGTCTGAAATGTCACACAGTTTACACTTGGTTATCATCTATATTTCAGAACCATAATTTTATTTGCCAGGTACTACATAATTTTTATCTCTGTGGATATACACAGTTATGATGGTACCTTAGGGATAGACGTAGAAGCTATTTATTGTGTATTTCCTTCCAACTGTCATAAATGACTTTAAGTACTAGCAAGTGCAAACAGTTGCTTTAAAGAACTAAGAAAAAGGAACAGAATCTCAGTTTATGAAGGTTACTAAAGAATGATACTGTTCTAATCCTTTATCAAAGGGGAGGAAAGTACAAACTGTTATTTTATTCATAAATCTCGATTTCGCTGAAGTATTTGGCAAAATCCCTTTTCTTCCTGATTTTACTCACTAAGTTTGTGTAGCCATAAGACAACCTCTCTTCATTGTAAGACTGCTGTGAATTTCCTTCAAGGAAGATAGTAATGTATAAGCATGCATATTAAAGGTCTGCTGTCAGACTCCTTCACAAATGTTTATGAAGAAGTTTGGGCAGCTCTTGCCCTAATAGTTCCCTATGTTAAAAATTCTCATTTATCGGAATCAAATCCATAGCACCCACTTTGTAAATCATTCCATAAGTTTTAAAACAATTTATATGCATTAGCAAAAAATCCTTGCAAATAAGTGTAGCATTTCTTGAGAAATACTCTATTTTCAATGTCAAAGCTGGGGATTTTTGCACTGCTGTGAAGGGATAGGATTGGCCAGTATTGTACAAGATAAGTAGTTGAAGTTGGCCTCATACATTCACCTGTAGCTTCTTGAAAAATAGTCATTCCTTCCCACCCCCTGACAAATCCCAAGAGCCTGGCACTTCCTCCAGTGAAAGATTTGGCATGGAGCTGGCACAGAGGCAACCAAAAATATTTCTTGAAAATGGCTAAATGTTTGAACACAAAACTCGTGCTGGTGGTCCTGAAAGCTCCTGGAATAATTTCACAGTATAGTTTTTTGTTTTAGGGCCTGCTAAAATTAAAATTACCTCTTATTTCTGAGAATTGTGAGGTTTAGTTGTAACTTTGAGCAAGTATTGCTGAAGAACATTTAGAATCGGTTTATTATTCATTGCCTCAAAAATGTGTAAACTACAAGGGACATCAGAAGCAAAGCATATTCAGCTTATGTAAGTAGAATATGCTTCATCAGTGTATATTGGGCAAGCTTGTGTAGAGGTTGCACTGAGATGGTATCTCTGGTATCTCATCTCAGAATTTTACCCTTTTTGTGATTCGGACTTCATATTCTGTAGTTGCTGAGCTTCTAGTATCTCTCTCTATGATTTTTTAAGACTAAATTAATATTTAATTTGTGTATTTAAAAAATGTGAAAGAACTTGTTGATTTAGATAGCTATGGCAAAATTGTCTGTATTTCAAAGTAGTTTTCCTTCTGAAAATACATTTTTAAAATTGTATTGGTATATATATGTAGAACCAAATCAGTAATGAGCTCAAGATACATCAGGAAGGTTCATTAGCGTACCTAAACTTCTGCGTCACTTTTCCTGGAATTTTAACTTCTTTCGCCATCTGCCCTTTGTTCGACAGCTGTATTATTGCAGTTAAAATGTATTCATCTGCACTATGTTAAAATTATATTTAAATTAAGGACTTTAGATTGCTTTTGTCCTTATGCTTAATGTAATATTATTTTCATGTAATAAATACATTTTAAAAATAGGTTTGTTTGTTTTTTTTTCTTTCTAATGGATAGGCTAAAAGATGCTAACTTTGCTTTTATTAGGTACATCAACTGGAAAGAAGATTCAAAGGCGTTGGAGGGGAATTAAAGAAACTGAAAGAAGTAAATACAGAGTTACTGAAGGACAAAAATGATTTGAAAGCATCTTTAAAAGTGCAAAAGGAAGATGCCGACGTGAGAGAAAGAGAGCTGGAAAAGCTACGTAAGAGAATTTGTGAAACAAAAAAAGACAAAGCAGAACTTCAGTTAGTAGTTGATGAGCGGGAAAGAGAAATTGCCTTTTTGAAGAGGCAAGTAGCAGAAGCTAAAAGGTTGAGAAACAAAAATGAAGATTTGCTGAGTCAAGTGCAGGAACTGAAGTGTTCGCTGGATGAAGCCAAAGCACTGGCAACCTGTGGGCAATGTAATTGCAAGATAACAGGCACCAAGGTTAAATTAAAAACAGCCAAGAAAAAAAGCTCTTTGGGACATCATGGAGCTTTTCTCAAACAGTCCATCAAGGTTATGAGTAATGTATTTGAGAACTTCAGTAAGGACGGCTGGGAGGATGTGAGTGAAGGCAGGTACGGCTCTCATTAACTTAGCTCTGTAGAGGGGACACTGTGCATATGTAAAGCACTAGCAAATGGAGATTGAATTTCAACTACTGTTGATTTGGTATTCAAAAAAAATACTGTCAGATCCTTTGAAATATCTTGGGAGGTCTTGTTCTGAGCTTATTGACTGAAATTTGCATGCAAAATTAGCCACAACTGCATGAGTATTTGAATAGGTGCCAGGAAACCCAAAAGAAGGCAATGCTTGATTTCTTCCAGTGATGCTATTTTCATGCAGTCATGAGGCTTGAAATTGACAGTTTGGCAGGTTGATTTAATTTGCTGGCCCTTTGCATATTCACCACTGACAGCTAAGGATTCCCAGGCAAGCCTACTAAGTCGGTTTAGTTATCTTGTGACATGCCGACCCGGGAGGAGAAACATTTTTTCCAATTAATTTAGTTAGATAAATTTTGAATGACCCATTTCAGCTTGCTAGCAGATGTCTACAAGCTGTTTAACATCCTTTAAATTAAGAACCATCCACACTAATTATTTCATGTATGTTTTATGCACAGTCATTGTACTAACTTTAATTGAATGATGGTTAAAAATTAGTTCTTTAAAGGTAATTGTTACTGCATAAAGTTCCAATCATGAGTCACAAGGCCCTCAGAAAATAGCACTGGCAAGATTCATAAATGTTTAGATTTTTTGCTTCTGCTTCTGTGCGTCCACATGCTTGAGGAGGTAGTAGTAAGACACTAGGTGGATGGGTATCACAACTTATATTTCAATACTTTGTCCTAAGAGACATGAAAAGCAATTTCTCAAGTCTATATCTCTGTGTAGAATAGAGAAGCTGACAAAAACTAAAGAAAACTGCATCTTCTTTGCAGGTTTCACATTGGCTTTTCTGTCATATGGAGCAGATCACTTAGTTTCACTGCTTCTCCCCACACAAAAGAGGAGGCTAAGAATATGTGGCCCATGTGCAAAGTATTTTGAGAGAGAAAACAACTTGAAGTATGAAGTAGTTTATCAATTGCTATTCGTAGCATCAACTTTGTTCGCTTTTCTTTTTTATTTAATACTGCAGATCTAATTTTATAGTTAGTTTTTTGTTTCAGTTAGTGAACTTTTTGTTTAATTTGCTATATTTTGCTTTTTAAAAATAAATTTTAAACAAATAAACTGTCATTTCAAGTTGAGTTCAAAATGATTGGAAAAGTAATTGCATGGCTTCAACTGTTGTGGCTAGCCATAGACATTATTTTCAATAGCTGAGCTGTTATCAGGTTAGGAAGTTCTTCTGATAAAAGAGTGAGTCATAGGTGTAGGTGGTATTTAAAGGTGTCATTCTCAGCAAATTAGGGAAATATTTTCATTTAATTTCCTCTTCTCCTTATTCGTAAATACTCTTCTTCATCACCGGTAGCTGGCTCTGGATTCCTTGGTTCAAGCTTCTCATTTTCTAGATACAAGAAAATTCCTTGAAAGCATTCAGATGAGAGAAACATACACATAGTTAGAAATCTCTCTATGCTACTGTAGGACTTTCAAAACATTGTATTTCTTTCTGTGCTTCCCAAGTCGGTAAGACATACCAGTGTACCACGACAGCTTTTGGAAAGCATAAGCATGTTCCTGTGTAAGATCTCCTCTTCAGTTTGAGGCCATTTCTTTGGTTAAGTAGCCTTCATGTCTAAACCACTGATTTTTATGATAGTGCAACATTACTGAACTCAGTTGTGCCTTTTAAAATGTTTCGGTTTAAAAAGTAACAAATCAAAATTAAGGGATTCCTCAAATTGATTCTCACCTTCTTCACAAATCTTGCTGCAATAATGATGATGATGAATAACCATTGCTGGTACAGACATGGTATGTCCAAGGCCTCTGTTTTCAGAGACTTCATTAAATATCAGGAAAAAAATGATAATCTGGGCGCAAGGCAGAGAAAATCTGCAAGTTAAGAGCACATTGACTGTATCACCAGATAGCAAATGTAAGGAAGAATTTAAAGCAGAATATATGTTTCAGGACCAATTCCTCTGGATGGCAAGCAATTTCAATAGAAGGAATATCAAGCTTTCAGAAGCTAGCTCCAAAGACTGGCTAGACAGAGATTTCACTAAAGTGTGATTTCAAAGTTTGTCCCACTCAACACCACAAATAATGTTCAATTGAAACAAAATGTTGTTCAGTGAAATACTGTGCATTTCTTGATTTGTTATCACAGGTCAAAGTGAAGTAAAGAGGAAACTTGGTATATATTTGAGAGCAATTCATAGACTATAGAAGTACTATCGAGTAGTTTTTCAAATATGTCACTTCTGGTAGACTGTAACAAAAGCTTTATCCTTTGAGAGGTAGGTAACATCTTAGCACTCCAAGCAGTGCATACCCTAACTCCATTCGACAGAGTAGAATTTGATAAGAGAGTATGAGATTTCCTCTTTTACCATATTTGTAATTACCTATTGAATGAGTCAGTTGAATACCGTTCGGATTTTATATTAGTTTCTCTCTTAAAAGAGTTCCCTTTGTTGTGCTTGCTTGTGGTATTTTCTGCCTGCTCACTTAGTGTCTATTTGAAAATTATAACTATGATCACTGACTTTTAGCTTTGTTTTGTTTTGTTTTCCCAAACGTGCTGTTTTAGTGACTCTGAAATACCAGCTTCTGAATGTTTGGGAACAGTGATTATGGAAACAATGGAAAACATTGATCCACTGGCAGACAGAGGTAAACAGCAGGAAAAAAAGCAAATACAAGTAAATCAAATGCCTTGCAACATGGCTCATTTAAAAGGCAAAAGCCAGCTGTATGATAAAAAGGTATGTTGCAACTTGTTTTGTTCTGTTGTGCACAGGAGTGAAGTTTAATAGTTAATATTATGACTGCTATTACCCTCTCACTGAATTTGACTCTTATTTTCATCTGAAAAGAAAATCTCGTGCTTCCAAATACTCATTGGGTAGAGTTTAATTTTCATTTAGAATTTCCTGATCAATTTGGCTACAGAAGTGTTTGGAGGGAGTACCAGGAGTGCAAAAGGTAATTAAAAAATGTAAAGCTGCTGTAAACTAGTCCTGCTGTCTCACAGTCCAAAAAAAGAATGCCACAGCCACCGCATTAAACTCTCTTTCAATCAGATAAAGCAAAAGGAACAGGGTGACCTAGCTCATAACAGAAGAACAGCAACATCCCCTCCTTGCCTCCAGCAAAATCCTGCACTCATGAATCAAACATCAACACTTTTCAGTTCATTTGGTGTGAGCAGAGAATGGTTCCCAGCTTGGAAAGGTGCTTTCGGCTCCAGTTCTGTCCAAGAGGTTCTGTCTAGAGAAAAGTGTGCTTGCTGTTAGCTTCTTTTGTGCAGTGACACCATCTGCGTATGTTGTCTGGGAGTTGAACCCCTTGACTCATTCCTAGTATCTATATGCTATCTTCTTGCAGAACAGGGCCAGCTGTTTTTTTCCCAGGTCTTGAGAAGCTCCATACAATCTATAACAGATGAGTCACTTTTGGACCTGTGAACAGTGTCTAATACACCTCCCCTGCTGTTTGCCCAAATAAATCACTTTACATCATGGAATTTAGAACATAGGAACATATTAATATTTCTCAGATTGAAAAGCAGAATACTGAAACATTGATTAACAGAATTTGCAACTAGTTTTCAAACAGCAATAAGATATATACTGTGATATAATGAAAAGCTTGAAAAACACATTGTATTTTTTTAGTCATTCTCCAAAATTTAAAAGTAAATACAAGCTCTCTGGTCTTGTAAAATATTTTTTATGTGTTTCCTGTCTAAAGATGTCTTCTTCTGGATAGCTGAAAAAAGGAAGGTTCTGCAGCCATCTGTTGATATAAAACAGACTGTAGGAGCAGGTGCAATGTATATGTGAGACTGATACCATGTGCTGCTCATTTTGTCTCCTCCCGCTCCTCATTGAGGATATAAATGGCAGAGCATCTCAGAGACTCCAGTCTCTCTTGCCTGCTAGTACCTACATTGTCAGTGCTTCTTCTGTTTGCTTGCATTACACCATGTGGGGATTTGATCTCTGATCGTATTGGAAAAGACAGATACAGGTATATGCTGATACATGTATATTATGTAACAGACTGGAGGACTTGCAGCATCCAAAGGAAGTGTCACAAGAGCCCTAAGCAGCTACATATACTTCAGCAGAAGTCACCTGCTGCAAAAAAAAAAAAAACGCTTGAAAAAATGGCTTATGGCAAGAGTATGGAGGATGGCACTGTAGAAATATTTAGCACTGACAGTTCTTGGTGTTCCCTGCGTTGGAGCAGGCTTTACCAGTGCTGTGAGTAGCACCGATATTAACAAAAATCTCTAATCCCTCCTGAGGGGGACGCTCTAATTGGGGAGCGGTGTTCTCATATAAAGAGAGGCCAGAGAAGCCCCTGAAGTGCAATCTATTATAAAGTCCTGAGCAACATCTAAGGTTGGAGAAGAGATGGTTCATTTGCACAAGGACTTCCTTAGTTTTGCAGCATATCAAGCTAATACCACTATGCAGTATCAGCAGAGTTATTGGCACTGTCTGTCTTACCACTTATGTATGCCTTAGAGCTGTTGCCTAGATTGGAGATCTTCTCTTAACTGCAGTCGTGGGTCGTTGGCTCATCATCATCAGATAATGCCATTCTCTGTAATGTATTATCATCATCTCAACAAAAATGGCACTGATTGGTAACCAGCATCAGTCATCCGCCTTCAGTTTTTGTGGGGGCCTCTGGCCATACTGATGGGGAACTAGTACTGGTTTCTGTGTTTGTATTGATGATGCAGGAAAAAATGTAATTGATTAAGAGCCTTCTCTAAGGAGACAGACCTTCAAGAGCTTGACCTCATTTATTTTTCCTTTGTTTTGGTTTTATGTTTTTCAAATTCTTTGGTGATTTTACAAACCCAGAATTCGTGGCTAAACTACCTTAGAATGTCAATACCTTGTTCCAAAAGTGCAATTAATAGGTAAGTGATTGCCATTAAAATTCATGATAACTCTTTTAGTTATATTTCCAGAAATACGTAATATGTTATCAGCATAGAAATTAGAAACTGAAGACTTTAACAATTACTTGAACCGTGGAGAATTCCAGAACAGAAACATTCCAAACTACACTAGGATTTAAAAGCCAGGGAACTACTACTTTCATTTTGGAGTAGGCTATGCTCTGGCTATTTTCGTTTTACCGATTGCAGGCAGCATTGTTCTTAAGCCTCTGCCTCTGTCAGTGGAACATTTGATAGGTTCTGGGAAGAGCAGATTTTTCAAATGGAGACAGATAATTTAAAATGCATGCAGCTAATTTTTGTTAAAGCCAGTTCAAAAACAGACATTCATGCATCTTCCAGGTAAGGCTTAGTGTGTAAACTGATCCTCCTCCTTTGGAAATAATTACTATTCTGTTTTTTACTGAAATATCTTGAAAAATAGGATATTATAGCCCTTCAAAAAGTGCACATAATCTTTTGCCTAATGAGAAATTCATACTTTATTTAAAAAGAAATGCAGACATTAACGGCTATGTCTTGGTTGTAGTTCTTTGGTAAGTGTTATTTTCCAAGGTTATGATGCACCTATAGCCATTTGTTTCTCTTGCATTTGATGGGAAAGGCAGAAATTTGTACTCTTCACAGGCTGATGTTATGGACTGTTGGAACTGTTTTTCAAATTATACATCAATAAAATTTTGTGTATTTCTGGAAGTGATTTTTGATACTTCAGAGTGGGAAACTGCAGCATTTTGTGTTTGGTGTATCATAGAAAAGCTAAGCTTCATTCTATCATTCTTTAATTAGGGCCAGTCACAAAATAAGGACCTAGAAAAGTTGCATTCCAAAAGGAAGAAGATCTACTGTATCATAGCAGCTCAGCCATCAGGTCTAAACAAAGGTAGGAATATTACGTATTTTGGGCAAAGATAAAGATTGACAAAGCGTTCCTGCCTGTTTTTCCAACACCTGTGCCATGATTTTGCACAAAGGCAGTTATTTGCTGTTGCAGGAATTTGCTGTTGCAGGATTTGCCTGTCAAAATTTAAAATTTGTATGAACAAATGTTCAAAGATCTAGCTCTTTATTGTAAAGTGAAATTATTATTCAAAAACTCATAGCAAACAACATATTTTCACTCTATTAAGGTATATTCTAAGCTGTATATATATTTTTAAGTCCTGCCTGTTGAATTTACTGACTAAAATTAGACTTTTCGGTACTTTTTATTCTTGTTTGCCCTTTGTTGCAAACAAAGCCACTGGACAAAATTATTTATGTTTTGGTTTAGACCTTAAAAAAATCTGTTAACAAGACACTGAAATCTTTATTTTTGGTAATGCAGCAGCTAGAAACTTGAGCCACATTACAGTCTGTGTTGAGTGTGCAGTGTAGGCACTTAGAAGAAGAATAACACCAAGCATTTATAGGTTGATTGAATTAATTTACTAGTTTGCTTACTGAGAAGTATTAACTGTGGTATTCTGTGAAAATATTTTAGAGGCTGGAACAGTGTTTTGAAGGGCCAAAATAAAATTTAAAAATAATCCTATTCCTGATGATCTATCGTTTTAAAAATATGCCATTTTATGTTTAGTGAACAGAGAAAGGAGGAAAAATGTCGTAGTCCGGAAACCAGGCTATTCTGCTACTCT